AGTCTCCAGAGAATTGTTAACATGATGAGAACAATTCAACACCAATTGCCACCCTGGAAACCAGTGTTGGTTCTCCCTGAGCTGTGCTTGAGTTCCCCCTATTTCCGAGTCCCTTGGAGGCATCTCAGTGGTCCCTCAGGTCCTGACACAACAGGAAAAGAGGTCCGTTGGCCTCAGTGAAGACGGGCTGTGTCAGTATTTGGAGCTTGCCAGCTCCATGCCCTTTAGCTGGACATGCAGACAGATTTTCCTAAACCAGCAGCGTCTCTGGGTGTCCACAGTCCCATAAAGGAGAAGGATCAATGACGGTGGATGGTCAACTAGACGATGTCCACTCATATCATGGAGCCCAATAGCAGCCACTGACCATCAGAATGTTCATTAGCTTGAAAAAGTATTCACAGCTCATTTAGTAAAAAGATAAAATCCGTGAATCCTCCAATCACATTGGTGAAGGGACAGACACCAAGGCTCAATAGTGTAATCCCTGGCCCTTCTTCCCTGTCTTGTGTCTTCTCTCTCCCTCCCTGGCCTCCCCCTGCAGTTCCTGATACTCGTGTGTCTGATTCCAGGGGAGAACTCTGAGGCTGGTGCCCCCACCAGCTTAGGGGTGGTGAAAAGGCAGCTCCTTGAGGAAGTGGTGGGAAACTGCTCCTATGAGGTCAACAACCACTTGGACCACCTGTACAAACCACGGCCCATAGAGGAGATGCTCGGTTCTGGGAAGGAGATGCTTGGTATGGAGATGGAGTACAGTGATCTGAGCAGGAACTGTGAGCACTTTGTCACCGATCTGAGATACGGCAAGGCCCGCAGCCGTCAGGTAAGGCCCTTCTGGAGAGCTCCATCTCCCTTCTGAAGGTCTGCTTACGGTGGGCGTGACAGAGATGACTACCCAGAAGATAAAAATACCACGAAGGATGCAAATATATGCTCCCTGCCTCCTGCTGGCTGGGAGTCAGGATGTCTGAGATCAAATCTCAGGTCTGTTCCTGATCCACACCGGGTCTTTGAACAGGTCACTTCCTCTCTGGGTCTCAGGTTCCCCAAGTGCAGAAGGAGGGATGTTGGAGGACTTCTGAGGCTCTGGCCACCTCCATCCTTTAGGATTCTTTGCCTCTAAGACCCACCCTAAAGGCAGCTCCTGATGCCCTGTGTGCTGTCAGGGAAAGTCTGGGCCAACCCTGGACCATGACAGGTCTCCTAAGGCCCCAGAGAGCCCTCGGGCAAGAGATGCTCAAGGTCTGTGGCCCATGTAAGAGCTCAAGAGCATTATTATGAAAGATCTGGGCACAGATTTAACCCATCCCCTTGCCCCTCTTCTGAGTTCATTGTCCAAAATACACAGCTAGTAAGAGGCAGAAGCAGATTCAATCCACAGTGCTCCCGGCTCTTTCTCCTGAACCACAGCACCTCCAGGGCTCACAGCCCCTGTGACTGGGTGATGGGCAGCCTGGATGGAGGAGATGAGAGGAGGAGGAGCAGGTTTGGGAGGATAATTAAGATTTGATGCTCATGTGGGGTGTTGAGGTGACCATTAGACATCCAGGTGGACCTGTTGAGTAGCAGCTGAATCTGTGAGTCTGGAGTTCAGGCTGAGCTAAAGCTAGAGATAGAAGTTTCCAGGCTGCACTTGGGAACAGTACACAGAGCACAGTGATCCCTGAGGCCATGGTTTACCACCCTCTCCCCTCAGCTTTGCCACCACCTCCCTCTGCAGAGCTGGAGCCCAGGGAGAGCTCAGACCACAGAGCCATTCCCATTTTCACCCCCAGAGCTCTGGCCCAATGAGCCCAAACAAGAAGCCCCTTCCCTACCTATTCTGGTCATGGCCAAATGGCCCCACCATGGAGGCTCACACAGGCCCCAGAGTGGGTGGGACAGAAGTCTGGGGTTGGGTCTGTAAAACATGGAGTCACATAATCGGGAACAGGATGGCCTTGAATAAAGTCATGGGGGAAAGATGAACAAAGAAGTGAATTCCAGAAAAGCTTCCAAGCTAAATGACCACTGTTGGATGTTGGCATGGAATGAGGGCAAAGGGAAGCTGGCCTCCGGTCTCAGATTGGGCGGCCTGGGGTGAGCACTGCGAGAGGTTAGCTGAGGTCAGACAAAAACTGGAAGTTAAACTGAAAAATTCTCAAATCAGGAAGCTGTGGTGCCCTCGACAGTGACACTGAGGAGCAGGGAGGAGGTCATAAGACAGGAAGGGATGAGAGAAGACCATGGTGGGGCAGAGAAGACCCAGTGCAGCCACTGCCGGCTGAGTGTCCCTGGGCAGCTCCCTCTACTTCTCTGATCCTCAGTTTCCCCAGCTGAGCACGTGGGTGCTGCTTCCTTCCCCTGGGCTTGGGAGGGTGGCAGTTATGGGGGAAATGTGCCCGCAGAGCCTGCTGGGGGACTGTGAGCCCTGTCCCCAGGGCAGGAAGCAGGGAAACAACAGGAGGGCCTTCTCCAATGCTCAGGTACCCTCAAGATGCTATCACCTGCTGTCTGTCAGTTCAGCATCTTCTTGAGTCCGTGTGCCGGGGCTGGGAGGGCAGAGTGTGAGGTGGTGGGTGTTGGGGCCATGCACAGCCAGGGCAAACACATGATGGAGACATGAGGGTCAGTGTGTGCGAGCAGAGAAGCTCAGACTCACCTGGACAATGTTGTGGGGGATGGGCCTGGGCCCCAGCCTCAGGGAAGGGGGTTACATACAGGCTGTTGTGTTATCACCCTCCAGACACATACACAGTACACCTGCATATGCATGTCTGCATCCTAGTGTGAATGTATGTACATGAAACACACAAAATATCCATGCACAATACACACAGACATACATACAGTACCTACACATTCTGTACAAATCTTCACTCTCCCAATGCACAAGGTAATTTTTTCAGTGTTCCAGTTACTCACAGGGCAACCTCTAAAAGCTACAGCAGGCTGAGGACCTCACAGGGGACTAGAGTCCTCCACACACACACACACACACACACACACACATTCTTCCCATGGGGTGAGCATCAGTAAGCAAATCCCCAGGCGGAGCTGCAGCTCCCAGCTCGGGCCTCTGCAGCTCCCTGAAATCTGTCTCACCTTCCTGGCTGTTTCCTTGCAGTTTCGTGAAGAGCCCAACCCTGGAGACCTGATTGAGATTTCCCGCATTGACTCCTCGCACTGGGCTCTCTATGTAGGCAATGGTTATGTGGTCCACCTGGCTCCCCCAGGTAAGGGGGGTTGAAAGTGTAACTCTCCAGAGATTTGTTAACATGATGAGAACAATTTAAAGCCAAATGCCACCCTGGGAACCAGTGTTAGTTTCTCCATGAGCTGTGCTTGGGTTCCCCCTACATCCGAGTCCCTTGGGGACATCTCAGTGGCCCCTCAGGTCGTGACCCAGCAGAGAAAGAGGTCCGTGGGACCCAGGGAAGCTGGGCTGGGGCCGCATTGGACGCTCTCCAGCTCCGGCCCTTTAGCTGGACATGCAGACAGATTTCCCTAAACCAGCAGTGTCTCTGGGTGCCCACAGTCTCATAAAGGAGAAGGGTCAGTGACGGTGGATGATCAAACGATGTCCATTCATATCATGGAGCCCAATCGCAGCCACTGACCATCAGAATGTTCATTAGCTTGAAAAAGTCTTCACAGCTCATTTAGTAAAAAGATAAAATCCGTGAATCCTCCTATCACATTGGTGGACAGACACCAAGGCTCAATAATGTGATCCCTGGCCCTTCTTCCCTGTCTTGTGTCTTCTCTCTCCCTCCCTGGCCTCCCCCTGCAGTTCCTGATAATCCTGTGTCTGATTCCAGGGGAGAACTCTGAGGCTGGCGCCCCCACCAGCTTAGGGGTGGTGAAAAGGCAGCTCCTTGTGGAAGTTTTAGAAAACTGCTCCTATAAGGTCAACAACCACTTGGACCACCTGTACAAACCACGGCCCATACATGAGATGATCAGTTCTGGGAAGGAGATGGTTGGTAAGAAGATGGAGTACAGTGTTCTGAGCAGGAACTGTGAGCACTTTGTCACGGATCTGAGATACGGCAAGGCCTGCAGCCGGAAGGTAATGTCGTCTGTGGGTGCTCCCTCTCTCTTCTGGAGGTCTGCTTGGGGTTGGGGTGACAGCATCCCGAAGAAAAATTTAACTCAAATAATACAACATTGTGCTCTCTGCTCCCATATGCCTGTGGGCTGGGAGTTAGGATGTCTGAGATCAAATCTCGAGACTATTCCTGATCCATTCAGGGTCTTTCAACAGGTCACTTCCTCTCAGACCTCAGTTTCTGCATGTGAAGAAGCAGGGAATTGTTTGGAGGACCTCTGGGGTCTGGCCACCTCTATTCATTTAGGATCCTTTGTATCTAAGACCCACCCTAAAGGCAGCTCCTGATGCCCTGTGTACTGTCAGGGAAAGTCTGGGCCAACCCGGGACCATGACAGGTCTCCTAAGGCCCCAAAGAGCCCTCGGGCAAGAGATGCTCAAGGTCTGTGGCCCATGTAAGAGCTCGAGGACATGTTATGTAAGGTCTGGGCACATCCTTACCGCTCTTCTCTTTCCCTCTTAGCAAAGCACAGCTAGTAAGAGGCAGAAGCAGGATTCAATGCTCAGTGCTCCCTGCTCTTTCTGCTGAACCACAGCACCTCCAGGGCTCACAGCCCCTGTGATTGGGTGACTGGCAGCTTGGATGGAGGAGATGAGGGGAGGGGGGGCAGGATTGGGAGGGAAATTAAGGATTTGATGCTCAGGTGGGGTGTTGAGGTGACCAGTTAGACATCCAGGTAGAGCTGTTGAGTAGCAGTTGGACGTGTGAGTCTGGAGTTCAGGGCTGGGATGGGGCTGGGTATAGAAGTTTCCAGAAGGAACTTGGGAACAGTACACAGAGCACAGTGATCCCTGAGGCCGTGGTTTCCCATCATCTCCCCTCAGCTCTGCCACCACCTCCCTCTGCAGAGCTCGAGGCCAGACCACAGAGTCATTCCCACTTTCAACCCCAGATCTCTGGCCTTAGGAGCCCAAGCAGGATGCTCCTCCCCTATGCTCCCAAGTCAGGACCAAATCGGCTACCATGGAGGCTCACACAGGCCCTGGAGTGGGTGGGACAAAAGTCTGGGGGTGGGTCTGTAAAACATGGGGTCACATAATCAACTACAGCATGGCCCTGAATGAAGTCATCGGGGAAAGGTGAACAAAGAAGTGAATTCCAGAGAAGCTTCCAGGCTAAATGACCACTGTTGGATGTTGGCATGGAATGAGGGCAAAGGGAAGCTGGCCCCCGGTCTCAGATTGGGCGGCCTGGGGTGAGCGCTGCAGGAGGTTAGCTGAGGTCAGACACACACAGGAAGAAAAAGTGAAAAATTCTCAAATCAGGAAGCTGTGGTGCCCCAGGCAGGGACATTGAGGAGCAGGGAGGAGGTGGTAAGGCAGGAGGGAGGGAGGAAAGGGGACCAGGAAGGGTCGGGGCAGAGAAGACCCAGTGCAGCCACTGCCGGCTGAGTGTCCCCGGGCAAGTCCCTCTACCTCTCTGATCCTCAGTTTCCCCAGCTGAGCACATGGGTGCTGCTTCCTTCCCCTGGGCTTGGGAGGGTGGCAGTTATGGGGGAAATGTGCCAGCAGAGCCTGCTGGGTGACTGTGAGCCCAGTCCCCAGGGCAGGAAGCTGGGCAACAACAGGAGGGCCTTCTCCAATGCTCAGGTGCCCTCAGGATGCTGTCACCTGCTGTCTGTCAGCTCAGCATCTTCAATGGTCCGTGTGCCGGGGCTGGGAGGGCAGAGTGTGAGGTGGTGGGTGTTGGGACCATGCACAGCCAGGGCAAACACATGATGGAGACATGAGGGTCAGTGTGTGAGAGCAGAGAAGCTCAGACTCACCTGGACAATGTTGTGGGGGATGGGCCTGGGCCCCAGCCTCAGGAAGGGCGTTACATACAGGTTCTTGTGTTACCACCCTCCAGACACATACACAGTACACCTGCATATGCATGTCTGCATCCTAGTGTGTGTGCATGTAAACACACACACAACATATCCATGTAGATTACAGACATACACACATGCGTATCACACACTTTCTGGATAAATCTTCACTCTCTCAAAGCACAAGGTATTTTTTCCAGGTTTCCAGTTACTCACAGGGAAACCTCTGGAACTACAGCAGGTTGAGTACCTCACAAGGAACCTGAGTCCCACCCGCCCCGAACCGCCCTCCCCCAGCAGCGCGCGCACACACACACACACACACACACACATACACACACACGCTTTTTATGGGGTGAGAATCAGTAAGCAAATCCCCAGGCAGAGCTGCAGCTCCCTGAAATCTGTCTCACCTTCCTGGCTGTTTTCTTGCAGTTTCGTGCAAAGCCCAAGCCTGGAGACCTGATTGAGATTTCCCGCACTGGCTCCTCGCACTGGGCCCTCTACGTAGGCGATGGTTATGTGGTCCACCTGGCTCCCCCAGGTAAGGGGGGTGAAAGGGGAGTTGAAACTCTCCAAAGATTTGGTTACATGATGAGAACAACTGAAAACCAAATGCCACCCTGGAATCCAAGTTGGTTTCTCCCTGGGCGGGGCTTTGCTCCCTGTACATCCGTTTCCCTTGGGGGCATCTCAGTGGTCCCTCAGGTCCTGACCCAGCAGGGAAAGAGGTCCGTGGGCCCCAGGGAAGCTGGGCTGGGCCACATTGGACACTCTCCAGTTCAGGCCCGTTAGCTGGGCGCCCAGACAGATTTCCCTAAACCAGCAACGTCTCTGAGGATCCCGGTCTCAGGAAGGGACTGCCTCTCAGTGCTGTGTCCTGTTGCTCAGAGGATGTCACAGAACAGGGCGCCCTGAGAGGCTTTCCTGAACACCCTCCACGGAGCAGCTCTCCCAGGTCACACATCACAGAGAGTCTCACACAGACGCACATGAGCACCTGGAACCTTGATGGACTGCAGGGACAGCAGAAGCAGGATGACAGCCAGTCAGAGGAGCAGGCAGGCCCCACACTGTGTATCGTCCATGAGAGAAAGGTGCTGGGATGAGACCGCGCACTGGGAGCACAGGGGCTGGTGCCCTGCAGAGCAATGGCACCCACACCTCGGACAGCAAGCGTTTGCATTCTCGCTGGACAGAAACCGTCTCACGATCAGAGGAATCTGCTTGTCACTGACCAGGTTCTGTACGCTGTCACCTACACTGACTGAGTGGAAAACTGTCAGAATTGATGGCAAATAGTAAGCGAAACCCACCTAATGCAGACGACACTTAGGAGGCTGGGAACAGGGAGCGTGAGTGTGAGGACCGGGTCCTGCTGTGTGAGTGCGGGTGGTGTTTCCTCAAGGACGGGTGCTCAGTGCAGCCTCAGCCTCAGACTCAGCACATAAAGGGAGCCCGCTGGTTACTGTGGGCTGTTGTTTTGGGGTTTTTTTGTAATATATTTTTATTATTTCCAGAGAGGAAGGGAGAGGGAGAGATAGAAACATCAATGATGAGAGAGAATCATTGATCGGCTGCCTCCTGCCGCCACCTACTGGGGATCCAGCCCATAACCCGGTCATGTGCTCTTGAGGGGAATCCAACTTGGGACCCTTCAGTCCACAAATCCAGGCTCTATCCACGGAGCCAAACCAGCTAGGGCTGTGTGCTCTTTAGTTCCCTCCTCTTAGAGAGCAAAACCCGGGCAACAGGGTTTTGGACGCCACCATGTGGAAGTGCTGTGTGGACTCTCCATGTGGCCAGAGCTGCCAGAAAAGGCTGATGATGCCTCAGGGTCCAATATCGGTTGTGAAATGGAGATGAGAGAATTTACCATGACGTTCAAAAGGAGAATAAGTGAGGGAATATATGAAATTTGCACAGCAGAGTCTGAAACACAGTGGGTCTAGAACAACTTTGATCTCTTTCTGAAACACACAGAGCAAAGATGAACAAATACAATTTACTACCATTGTTTACAACGGATAAGCTAGGGACCAGCCAATAACAGGGACTTGGTCAACTAGATGATGTCCATTCATACAATGGAACACAGTGGCAGCCACTGACCATCACAACATTGATTAACATGAAAAGTATCCACAGCTCCTTAATGAAAAGAGCAAAATCACTGAATCCTCCAATCATATTGGTGAAGGGACAGACACCAAAGCTCAATACTGTGATCCCCTGGCCTTTCCTCCCTGTCTTGCGTCCTCTCTCCCTCCCAGGCCTCCCCCTGCAGTTCCTGATACTCTTGTGTCTGATTCCAGATGAGTTCCCTGGGGCCGGCTCCTCCAGCATGTCCTCCGTGCTGAGCCCCAGAGGAAAGGTGAAAAGGGAGCTCCTGAGTGACGTGGTGGGGGGCTGCAG